CCTAATGGACATGGTCACAATTACACTGGTTAGTGTATCTAGATAGCATACATATGTATATAGATAAGTACATTTAAAAAGCTAATGCAGTAAGTTTAAATTTGTATTATTTTGATTTTATTATAATTCCAATTAAAAACTGTCTGAAAGTACATTGCTTTTTTGTTAATTTGCATCTCTCTCTCTCTCTTGTTAGTTGAAGTGACAGTTAAAGGAAAGGTAATTATTATTGTCGTCATCATATCATCATTATCATTACTATTAATAGGTAGACCCATCCACTGGAATGGTAATGAATCTACAAGAACTAAAGAAAGCAATGGATGTAAGTCGTTACAGTATACTGGTTTCCATGACAATAAGCTCTACCCACATACAGGTTGCTGTGGCAGCACAATTGGATCATAAAAACATTGACCTTGACGTGCCTTACTTTAGAGACCAGAGGATAGTCAGGTAGGGCACATTGCAGTTTAGGTTCTACCAAATTAATTAACGTGACGTCACGTTAATTAATTAATACAAATATCATATATTTATTTATTATAATATTAAAAAAACTAAACACTAAATTTAAAAAACTTAAAAATATATCAGTGATGTCATAATCAGATAAACAGGACGTGATCAGGGCCGTAGCTAGGAACTTAAAACAGGGGGTTTGGAAATTGCTGCGCGCGAAGTGCGCAGCAAAAATTTTGACGAAATGGGCGTGGTTGGTAGGTGTGGTCTTAATTTACGCATCTCAGCCATGTGCTGACTCAGCTAAAATGGCCATCTGTGCTTCTCGCTGTTGCCGAAATGCTAATCCTTCTTTTGCAGTGCTGTTCTTCATGACAGGAGCTAATCTAAAACTTTTTTGCAGCTACAACAGGGGGTTCGTCCGAACCCCCCGAACCCCCCCTGGCTACGGGCCTGGTGATATCATTAATTAATATTAATTTTAATTGATATTAATGTGGTAGGACCTAAACTGCAATGGAACCTAATTTTACTAATTACCATGATAGCCGGAACGTAAGGAAGTTCATTTAATTGGCAATAATGATAATATCACCAGCCATTTTGCTTTATTTTGAGTATGCTCAATGAATTAATGAACATTAGATGGTAGACTATCTATGATAAAACATGCATGACTGCAAAATATAAAAACTGCCAATACTGCAATACAGTATTTGCAATCATAGAATTGCCAATATTAAATGCTAACCAAATTTATGGTGCTATACACTCTATTCCAATGGTCATTTACAACTAATGCATATAGTATCCTTCCTCTTTTTCTCTAGTACTACGGAGAATGTCACTGTATTTATTTGGAAAGAAATGACAAAATCTCTTGGTTCAAACAAGCACCTACTGTACAAAGTAGTTGTCTGGGAGACTGATAAAAATAAGTTTACATACAAAGGAGAAGAAGAAATATGAAAATAATAATAACTTATTGTCGCATTATTTTTGACAACTACAGTCTCGTTAAAATTCATTTATTTGATCTTGTTAATTAAAGGTGTTGTTTCACTGGTTGTGAGCGGTTGGCGTGGTTTTTGAATTGAGTGGGCATCTCCTTTAGGTAGCTGATAAGGAGGAGGAGTAATGGAAGGAGTGGGAGGATTTATTAATGGAGGAGATGCTGTGAAAATAAAAAAAGAAAACAATTTTATCAAGAATGATATTTTCTCATCTAATATGACTATGATAGAGTTACATAATGATCACAATACAATTTTTACTTCAATCCCTCCTTGCCTGCATAATAATACATTCTTACC